CTCAGGCAATGTAGCCCAGCTGATAGGGCCAGGAGGGGAGCCAGCCAGGCGGCTAGACCTCCTTTGGACCAGCAAACTCCCTTGCTCAGGGCTGGTCAGGTTCCAAGGGTGCTGGATTAGGGAGGTCCAACCTGTAGTATTTTATGTAAATTTCACTCATAGTATTGAAACGGTAACTTTACTTTTCAATACAGTTAACCTCCAGGAAGATACTTTTGTCTCTCTCTATAAAAAAACCTTTTCCTGTGGGATGACAGAGTGATATCCTCATGTCACTGTCCCACAGGCTCCGCCTTCGCACAAGCTCTCTGCCCTGACCCTTTTCAGTGACTGGCAATGCTGCCTGGCAGCCCTGCCCGGGCAGATTCTGCCTCCCAAGGGTCCTGTTAGCTTAGCCCAGTCTGCAGCCTTCAAGCAGCCCATTTCCCAACTCAGGGGCTGCTTCGGCTGGTGCAAGGCCCGGGGCTCAGGAGAAGTGCCAGGCACAGGGCGAGTCCCGGCCCCCTCCCCCCGCTCCCAGCCACTCACCGCCCCATCCTCCGCTGTGCCCTGAGTGGCTGAGTCCTGAGCCCAGTGCCGAGCCATCCTGGTGAGACTCAAACCCAGCCTGTCTCCCAAGCCCGAACTGACTCCTTCCTGTCCTGCCACGTGTGGGGCTACAGCAGCCAGCGGCACTTCTGCAAGGTGGGTGAGAAGGCTCCCAGCAGCACTGACCTGAGTGGCCCGGGCCCCCTTTGCCTGGTGCTGCAGCCTCGCCCTCCTTTCTTCTCCATGTATTTGGAGCACTAGCGCTGGCTTCCCGCTGTAGGGGGGGACGACTGTGGGAGAAAACCAGTAAGTGCTCTTCACTCCCTCCATTCCCCAGTCCACTCCTGCTCCCCTCCCTCTGGCCAGAAACCCTGCCTCCAGCCCACAGAAAGGGCTGGTGGTGGCCTCCCTCCTGCTGTGGCATGGGTACCAGGAGAGGCCAGGATCGGGCTGCGGCAGACAGAGGTGGGGCTGGCGAGTGTAGCAAGCAAGGGGGTACAGCCCCCTAGTATATTTAAGTGTAGCGACACATAATATTGTTACCCACTAGAAATAAGTAAAGACAATTAGGGCCCAGTCTAGTAAAGCACTTAAACCTGTGCTTAACTTAAAGCATCTGCGTAGCCCTACTGACATGAACAGGTCTAATCGAGTGTTTATAGTTAAGCACAGGCTGAAGCAGTTTGGTCGATTGGAGCTATTTACATCAAACAAAACTTCTTTTAATGTGATGTGATTGCCAGTCCCCACATCCTCTTTCCTATCGTGCCCACCATTCCTATTGTGTTGTTTCAGCTCTCTCGTTATGTAATGGCTAAAAATAGATAATAAAGTCTTTGAACAGGGACTTTTTGTTTCTACTGTTAAACAAGTATTGCCTCTTTATATAAAAACGTTTTTCCTGCTGGACGATAGAATGTTTCTGTTGGGCAACAGAACGACAACGACATCATCATGTCATCAGTGTTAACAGGCTCTGTCAGCGAAGTGAAAGCGGCCAGAGAGAGGGGGATAGGTGAGCGTAGCCAGCAAAGGGCGTGCAGCCCCCCCAGTAAATAGTAAATACTGAAACATAATGAATGCATTTTATTGTGGATTGTCCTCCTTTCCGTGCACACCCCAAGGTTCCATTGACTTGTGCCCTGACTGCTGTTGGGGCCAACAGTTGCAGGAACTGGCCTATATGCTGAATATGAGCTGAGCAGATAGTGAATAAAATATATGAGATCTCCTGATGAAAAGTTCTGTATTAGCGCTACCTGTATTAGCCCTTAGTTTAGTCTGATCCCCATGCACTCAAGTCAGTAGCATGATTGGTGCAGGTGTTTTAATTGCAGCGTTAGCAGTAGTGGATCCATATTCGGGATCAGTGCCTGCACTAGAGGTAATTAAGATGAGGGAGTTCTAACTTCCGGACACACTTTTTGATTTATACAGAAAGAACTCTGACACGAGAAGACTTTTTATGCTTTCTTTTCACTTATTTGAAACACATACTGCCAGTCTTGTTTGTTTGTTTCTTTGTTTTTAAATTGAGTTTATGACTCATGTTCTCTTCTGGCCAATATGAGAAGTGAAGTTTTCACTATCAGAAACAGTCCAAGAAAGTGAAAGTAAATTTCTAATTGCACAGCCAATTGTAAAAATTTGCTGTGTGAGTTGGATACATTAAAAGCAGCAGCACCCAGGGCAGGGGAGGGGGAGGCGCCAGAGGGGCTGGGGGCAGACAGAAGGACCCTGATGGCCAGGGGAAGCTGGAAGGAGACAGAAGACCCCTAGTGGCCAATGGGTCTTGTGAGGGGCAGACACAAGGCCCATGTTGGTCAGGGGGCCTGGGGGAAGAAAAGGTCCTGCCAGCGGGAGGGTGGAGAAAACTCACCAGATGGGACCTCCTGCCCTGAGCCCCTCCTTTCCCCTACCCTCACTCTCTCATCCCTCCCCCTGACACCTGCAGCCTCCTTCACTCCCCCTCCCACATCCACAAGACCCTACCCTGACTCCTGCACCCCTTCTTTCCCCCCACTGCTGGCCCCCTAACCTGAAGGACCCAGGCAACTCTGCATAGGTCTTCTAGCTTATTATATATTTGAAGATAATTGCAGTTTGGATGATCTGCTGATCCAAAATGACTTACTAGTGAAATTAACAAATCATCTTCTTTCTTTCCACATCCCCGTTCAGCAGCCATCTTCCAAAACTCTTTGTTGTCCATCAGGTTGTCATGCAGACTGATCTCTCTGGGTATGTCCTCCTACAGACATGTGGCATCCCAGGTCTTGGTCAGAATCTCAGCATCTTGGAGGGTGAAGCCATGACTGAGAGTGAGCAAAAGGGACTGGCGGATGTGGCAAGAAGAATGTTTTTTGAAGGTTTTTACTTCTTTGTTTTTGGAAGTGGGCCAGAGGATTTTCTTTACAGGTGAGGCCAGGAAGGGAATGGATCATTACATTTGCAAACTGGTATTACTAGCCACAACAATAACTGTAGGAAATGTTTTGCTTCTATAAATAGCTCCTCTTTCATCAAACACCTTTTAGTCAGATGGGGCCAATATTTTCCCCTCCAATAGAACAATCTGTATAACAGCTGCATATATTACATATAATGCAGTACAATCCGCATAAGATGCCAAACCCTTACTTTTCACTTAATATTAAGAAAGGAATAATTGGTAAGAAGATAAATACATGTAGTTATATTTGGATTTAATTTTCTAAATACATTTGCTATCCTCTACTGGCCCAACAACACTGGAGATGGCCTTAAGCAGATAACTGTTAGAGAAGAGGGCTAGATTAGTAGAGGTAATTGCTGAACAGAGTGAAGATTGAATATCACCATGTGCAGTCTACTTGAGGATAACCTAAACAAATGAGCATTTTGTGAAGAGGAAAAAAAGCCAATATATCAAGTAGTTCGTATAATATAAAACTATGGAGATGTACAAGTGCCATGTAAGAATATTCCTGTTACAATACAAATTTCCAAATGATATTGCCAATAAAGTATTTACTTGTGTTATGGCTCCATCTACAGCTTAGAAGAAAATTATCTACAATCGCTAGTTTTACTATTGCAATCTTTGTTTCTGGAGCAATGCTGACTTATTATACTTAATGCTAATAAAATTATCCCTTTTATATGTCACCATATTTCCAGTAGATTTGTGGGCACGCTTGACCTATTTCATATTTAATGACTTCCAGAAAGGCAGCTATTAAGATTATACTCACTGTTTCTCTTATATTAGCACTGGCTTAAATTTTAAGCTTTAGTATTTTGAATATTAAAGGCCTGACCTTGCTCACATTGCAAAAGAATAAAGGTTAGGGGACAACATTATTTCTGTTTTTGTTAGTTTTTAATAAACTAAGTTTCAAAACTTGAAACAAAAATTTTTAAAAAGAGAGAGAAATAGTGCAAAGTCAGCTGGTCACTAGTAGCTTTCAGTCTGCTCTAACTTACATTGATTGCCAATCATCTCTAAAGTCTGCTGTTGCAACTGATCATGGGGCACACAAAAGCCTTGTCCTTTGTCTTTAGTCTTTCCCCTTACAATAGCTGTGCATGTAGGGATGATGGGGAGGGTGCCAGACCTACTCTATCGTACTCAGATGTGACTATCCCATGGGCAATCATGCTGATTTTAAGGCCAAGTTTGTGTCACCTGAAGAATGAAAACAGCGGCTCTGTGGGGACAATCAGGGCTCCAGTGTGTAAGTTCATTATTGGCTGGATCTTGTCTTCTACAAAACATCTAGGATATTACTGCAATATAAATAATAAAGAATAAGACTAAAGGGTCTAGTTCAACTGCTTCCAGGATCTGTGCCTTAAAGATGTTATCATGTTTTAGAGAGACAATGTGATGAGGTAATATATTTGATTGGATCAACTTCTGTTGGCAAAAGAGACAATCTCTGTACTTGTTTTTTCTTGTGTTTGAGTGGGTGAGTTGGTACTGTAAAATCTCGAATATAATGCTCACCGATGTATAATGCTCACCCTGACTTTTGAATTTTATCATAATGAAAAAATCTATACTCCTATATACAGGGCTCGACAATTAGGGCAATCTACTCGCCCGTGGCAAGTAGATTTTAGCCTGGCACGGCGCCGCAGCACGATCACCGCATGCGCAGCACAGTCTGTGCGTGCGCAGTGTACCAAACCTCGCTGCTGGAGAGCAGGGCTCGTCGCCGCTTGTCAAGTCCTTCCTATATATAACGTGCACCCCGACATTGCCCATTGTACATGTATTTTATGATACCCGTCATCATAGATACGAAGGCGTCGTTAAATATAGTCTATTCAATAGCAAGTCTATGGTATGCTGGTGCATCATATTTCCTGCCTTTTTGTATTGCTGGTTGATTGCACGTGAGCGTACGACTATAGAATACGCAGCGTTTATTTTCATAATGTCATCAATTAACTATAAACTATAAACTGTAAATTTCATATTATTTATTGTTTTTAAGTATTTTAAAGCATTCTAGGAATCTCTGCCATTTCAGTTGATGTTGATTTCATGTTTACTGCCGTCTTAGCTTGGCGTCGGCATAGCGAAGGTTTGCCGTCTTCTGACACGGAACTGCCAAAATAAAACTTTAAACATTAACTCCTATATATAATGTGCATGCCGACTTTGACCCAAAAAAACTCAGAAAAGAAGTGCGTATTATATTCAAGATTTTACAGTATGTGAAGGTTGTAAACTGTTTTCAAGCTGGTATAAAAGGATAAAACTTAGAAGAAACTAGATCACATTAATAAAGGGAAGTGTTGTACTGAATATAACAAAAAAACTTCATAAGTGACATGATTTAAGCAGTGGAATAATCTCCCAAGTGAAATTATAAAATCCCCTTTTCTGGAAACATTAAAACTTGACTAGACAAAGCACGCAGCCCTACACTGGGAGTAGGACGGAAAAGGTGACTCGAGGTCCTTTTCCATCTTTAATTATTTTACCTCCCTCAGTGTTGAACATTTTTGAATTCATGAAATATGTTTCTGTGTGAGATTGACTATTCAGGGAGATTAGCCACTTTGAACTATTGCATGTGTGACTTTTTGTATGTTTGTTTCCAGATGAACAATGTAATTAACTAGGGATATTATAATTTTTGCTGTTTTCCTGGTCAGGAGAATAAACAGAAATTGAAATTAACACATTTCTTGCTGGGGAAGTATGAGCAGGGGGATGGTCTAGCTAACCTGATTATGTACCCATCTGAAATGTTACTAACTCTTCCTGCCACTCATGTCACCACAGCTATACACTATTTTTAATGTGCTAGCTAGCTTAGTTAGAGCTAGTGCTTGTATATCTGCTTGTATGTCTGATGGGAACTATATGCCCAGAGGGATAAGTGGACATATCCTTACATGGAAGCTATTTATGCTTACATTTTGTGGTTGAGGCTGGTAAACTTCAATGCTAACTAATGTTTTTCAATGCTGTATGTATCTGAAAGTGGTAAGTAACTTCAATGAAATTTAAGTTTTATTACCTGGTCTATAGATTTCTTCATCAAAGATGGTATCACATAAGCTTATCCAAAAACTTCTATAATACTGCAGCTTCAGAAATCCTATTGTTAGTCACAAAAAAGAAAAAAAAAGAAAACAATTCTATATGGTAAATTATTTTTACAGATTCAGAAACTTTTTAAAACTGTGTTGTCTAAAAATGAGACATTTCCAAATCTGCTATACAGAAGAACTTGTGGGAAAAGTCCTTAAGGTGACTTTTAAATGAAATGTCTCTTAGTAGATTTTAGAAGTACAATATTATAGACTGGTAGAATTGTACCTCATTAATTTCAAACATAGATTTTTATGTGAGGCTATTTGATTATAATTTGATTATCTGACCTTGTAATTAAAGTTTATTGCCAATTTCAGAGCTTATATGTAAAATGAACTGGTTTTCTTCAAAGCAAAATACAATCCATTGGACTCATTGACTTCTAGTTTTGCATTTAAATAGAAAAGTCTGTTATAACATGACAAACAGGTTCAGTTTTTGATCATTAATCCTGCTAAGCAATATTCATAAATTCAATTTTGAATCAGTTGGAATACTTTTCTTTTATTAGTTTCTGTGTTATTAAATGAGATTGTTTCTGACTAATATATTTCTGGACTCAAACTGTAGCTCCAAGCTGTTATTCAAATCAAATAACATGCCCCTTACTTGTGCCTAGCACTAATAAATGCCAACTTGTGATACATTTGCTAGAGATTGTCACGAATATTAAAGGAGGCAATAATGCCACTAATGTTGCATAAGTAAGCTGATTTTTCTAAAGGGCTGAAATCAGTCATTCTGGGTGTTTGAGGGGGAAACCTCTTAGACTTAACCCCTAAAGCATTCTTTTACTCAGCTAAACATTATTATTGAAGAAATAAATGACCAAGAAATTATAACAAAAATATAATATGTAACTTCTGGCACCACCCAGAGCAACAGAGTCAGAAAAATAGATTCATTGGCCAAGCGTACATTGGGATTAGTAGAAATGCATGTTTATTAGCTTAGAGACATGTTCTCTTCTCTTGTGTTTTGATTCCCTCCCTCCTTCTGCTATTATGTCAACCTCCCACAGCAGTCATCCTGAGATTGGCAAATTTAAAGTCATCAGTGTATGGTGTCAGCTGCTATTCACATCTTAAACTAATAGCAGATACTGCAGTGATTTTACTTTTGACTCTGAATATCATCAAGATTTTTGGTTTTAGGATAACAGGCATGCATTATTCTATAACCTAAGATACAAGGCTTCATAGAGCATACAGTACATTCTTCTTTCACTTTGCATTCTATTCAACTTTTTATATGTGAATACTTTTCTAGTTTTACAGGTAATGTCCCATTGTGCTTTTGTGTGTGTGTGTGTGTGTGTGTGGGGGGGGGGGTTCTGTTTTGTGGTGCTAATCTCAACTTGCGTGAAAAAATGGCCAAAATTATGCCCTTAACTTGCAGGCTTCAAAAGAGGGATTAGGTTTGTAAATTAGGTTTTTGGGTTATTAGCCATCTTTCCTTTTCTTTTGGTTCAATATAGGCTAGATTATGTGAGGTACTGCATACCCTCAACTCTCCGTAAATTCAGTGTAATTTGAGGATATTCAAGTACCTTGAAGAGATGCTTAGTAGGCACATCAGTCATTGCTGAGACTATTGTCCCCCTTTGTCCTCTTCTCAGTCTGATCTTCCTCCTAGTTGTGTTAGGGACACACTACCAATGTTCCCTCTAAGCTTGTGCAGAATAATGTTATGTGCACTGAGGAATGTGCACATGTGCACCACCGGTAGAAACACAAACCTAATTGTGGAGCTCTGTTAATCAGCTGGGTAGCATTTGAATCTCACCTGAGTAGCCACCTAAGAGCTCAGCTTACAGGGAACACTGCACACTTCCTATTTCAGATGTCTACTTTGTTATGGCTCCATATGTAGTTTCCTGCTGCTCTTCCTGTCATATTAGTCTCCCCCCACCCTTTTTTTGTGTCCTACTTACTATGCTAAGCATTTTCCCATTCTGATATCTGTTTTGACGATAATGCCTCCTTTCAGATTCTCTGGAGTGAGGTTCCTTAGGTTTCTCTCTGTAATTCCAGCTCCATTTTTGTGACCGTCTAGTTTCTCTTCCAGTGTGAAGAACAGATGTATTAGTCATATTTAATTTAGAAAAAAAGTCTCAAAAGATGAAACAAAGGTAACACAGCTGTCTACTCTATTTAGTTTTGATTAAGGTTTTGATAAAGTTCCTTTAAACTTGCACAGTTTTTTAAAATATTCTCTTGTGAACTTAGGTCTCAATGCTAAAACGAAAGTGATAATTAAAGAAATCATGGAAACTTTTTATGAGATAGCTAGATTCCATATTGAACAACTGATGTCTGCCTTTCTAAAATTCTCTCTGTAATTTTAATGTCTGATATTTTCTTCTTGTTCTGAATTTCTATTAAGTCCAGGTCTACACTAGACCTGGAAGGTTGGCTTAAGGTACGCAACTCCAGCTATGTAGAATACGTAACTGGAGTTGGCTTACCTTAAGCCAAACTTGGCGGCATCCCCACATTGGGAGGCTGACAGAAGCAAACACCATCCAGAGCTGCCCTCAGCATTCAATTTACGGGTCTTAACTAGACCTGTTAAATCAAGCACCAGAAGGTCGATCTCCAGCGTGGCAAGTGAAGACATGCCCTTAGTTAACAGCTGCTGCGTGTTCCCCAAAGATGAATAAATATCAACGAGTCCTACATGTGTAGTTGGTAATTGGTTTCTAAAGCACATTAGGGATCTATGGGGATGAAAGATGCTATATAATTAAAAAATAAAAGCTGACCAATTATTATTACCCTATAATTCCATTGTTATAGTTACCAAGCATGCAAGTTTAAGCTTACGCACAGCAGGCCACAGTTGAAGAGCATGCAGCACAAGTTGGAGGAGTGGGGTACAGAGGCGATGTAAAACTCACCTTTGCAATCTCCCAATTCTTGGACCCCTGTGGATGACTGGTTTCCAATCACCAAGTAAGAGCAGCCTCAGACTGCACAGTAAGGAGTAAGTCCTACTTATAATTCCAAAAATCATTTTCTGGTGGGGGATGCCCCATGAAAGGTTTCCTACATTTCTTCTGGTAGGAAATTTTTCTTTTTATGCTTTCCAGTGTATCACTGAAATCTTTCCCCATGTTGTTGATATTGCCATAACAAAGAACCTGAAACAGTTCTTTTGATCATGCACATGTTGTACCAGAATTAGTAGTTTTCCATGAGACAGTGGCGTGCCTGAAGAAACTCACATTCCTTCATTCCTTCTCTCTCGTTGTATTTCCCTTCAGAAGTTGGAAATGCAAGTAGTAACTAGGGAGTAGGCAACATGCAACCCACACAGATTAACTGACATACTGTGCTTAGCGGTGACACACATACAAATAAACAAACATTTGGTTTGTTTGGATGAAGTAATGGGCTGTGTAATATAACAGTTTCTTCAAGCTCTTCTAAGATACATTTTCCCCACCAATATGTTACAGGTTTTTTTCAGCTCAATATGTTACCTTGTATTCTGTATTAGTACTGCTAAGTTAGCATTTCTATCTTATTATATTCAGTAAGGGAAAATATTTCTTTATGAGTAAAATCTTTGCCTTCACAAGAATACTTCTTGTCCTCAGTAGATAGTGAGTCTTTATCATCACTGTGTACTTTTGCTTTTAAAGAAACAGGCTAGATGAGAGGAGAAGGTTAAGGGAATAACCAGTTGCCCAGAGAGTTTTCCCTCCATTTTTTTTAATGAAGTGTGCTATTTTGGATGCTGATTAGGAACACTTCTGGATAACATTTGTAGGATCTGTGGAATGATGAAGTTCTATGCCTTAGTAGAAGACTAAGGGTATGTCTAGACTACATGGCTCTGTCACCAGAGCCATGTAGATTAGTTTACTAGACATACCCAAATGAAGCTGTGATTTAAATAATCACTGCTTCATTTAAATTAAAATGGCTGCTGCGCTGTGCTGATCAGCTGTTTGTCGGCTCAGCGCTGTAGTCTGAATGCTCCGCGGTCGACATCAAAGGCATTTGTTGACCTCCCCGGTATGCCTCGTGGGATGAGGTTTACCGGGGAGGTCAACAAATGCCTTTGATGTCGACCGCGGAGCATTCAGACTACAGCGCTGAGCCGACAAACAGCTGATCAGCACAGCGCAGCAGCCATTTTAATTTAAATGAAGCAGTGATTATTTAAATCACAGCTTCATTTGGGTATGTCTAGTAAACTAATCTACATGGCTCTGGTGACAGAGCAAAGGCCAGATCTTTTGGTGAATTATAGTTATTTTATATTGCACCATCCGTGGGTTCTGAGATAATATATTATGAGACTTCTACCGCCTTACTCATTAATTCTTTTACACAAATAAATATACAGACCATCTCACATTTTAATTTAGCTAACAGCTGTTTGCTCGTTCCAGATTCACTAGACTACTGGCCCTGATTTAGCATAACCATTAGAACATCAGCTTAACCTTAAGTATGCACTTAAGAAATATTTTAATTGATAAGGATGGGTTTCCTCATCTGAAAAAGTTAATATCTGCTTCTAGTGTTCTCCTAACTCAGGGATGTTAACTAGCTCAGTCAAGGAATTATGTTAGAGTTTTATTTTTCATTCAATAAACAAATAAATGGAATTGCTTAAAACCCTTATTTGACATTTAATAAAAAATAGTTAATCTTGGCATGTTTGTTTAAGCATTGCATAGGTTAAAACTGTTGTTGGAAGCATTTCTTTAAAGAAACATCATGGTTCTGAATCTCTCTGTCAAAAAGATCACTGGTAGCAATTTAAAAGTAATAGTTTAGAAGATAAATTTCAAATGTTTTTCTTACGTATAACTCACCTCTAGAAACATTTCTTTTCTAGCTGCCAGACAATCATCTAAACTTTCCTTTCCTATTAATATGGAATGTAAACAATAAAATAATAAATAACTATGATTTTAAACAGCTGTCATGTGCAGTATCGGTCAATGGGACATATTTATCATACTCTTTGTCTCCAGAGCTCTTGAGGCCCTCTCTCTTAATTATGGTCCACAATCTCTGTACATCTGTCTTTTAAAAAATTCATTCAGGCTGCCCTTGATGCACTATACCCTGATATGAGAAACTCGGGTCCTGAACCAATCTTGGGTGGTTTCCCTCTGTGTTTCAGTGAGGCTGGGCTTGTCAACAGAGAACTTGATAGTCTCAGACTCATCTTTGAATTTGGGGGAGTCTCTCCTTTGTGTGCGTGCGTGCATGGGAACTTAAGCTAAAAGGGTACTTTGACACTGCAGGGCAAAAGTCAAATTAACATGAGCTCCATCAATTGCGTAGCTGAAGATGAAATAGATTTATTCAGCTTTTGGCACTGTCTGCACAGTAGGAAGTTGAAAGAAGTACACTCTTCCTTCCACTTCCCTTACTCCTTGTGAAATGAGGGTTACCATGAACTAGAGTAAGAAGTCTTCCTGCTCAGTATTATTTTAAAATAATGGCTTGTAGTGTAGACATCAGTTATTCTGAAATGACCCTGCTATGTAGATGTAAGATATAAAATGTGCACAAACTAAGGAAATATCTCTCCCTTTTGTAATAGAGATGCAGCCGTGTTAGTCTGGTCTAGCTGAAACAAAAGACAGGACTACGTAGCACTTTAAAGACTAACAAGATGGTTTATTAGGTGATGAGCTTTCGTGGGCCAGACCCACTTCCTCAGATCAAATTGTGGAAGAAATGATATCATTACCTCACAGACACTAACCATCCCCTCTTCCCTCCCCTCTGTTCTAAAATCTGATTTGTCAATTTTATATGTGTTCACTTTTTTTTATTGTATACATGGTCATGCCAACTTTCTTCCACAAATTGATCTGAGGAAGTGGGTCTGGCCCACAAAAGCTCATCACCTAATAAACCATCTTGTTACTCTTTGAAGTGCTGCATAGTCCTGTCTTTTGTTTCGCTCCCTTTTATTTTTGACTGATGAGAATGACCCTTTCCCAACACCTTCCTAAGAGCTCAAGGACAGATCCCCTACACCAGGCATGTCCAAAGTCCGGCCCGTGGGCCAATTGCGGCCCGTGTTCCGGTTTAATACGGCCCCACAGGTAATTTGGCAATATCTATCTTTTATGGCCCCCAACGAATCCATATGTATTGAGATGAATACATTGTAAAATCTCAGTTAATGTCAGTTGGTCTAAATCAGTTATAAATATATTTGGACACAACATGTATACTTGGTGTTATATTCCTGTTCATATTTTTTGAACTTAAAAGTTGACAGACAACCTTTATTACCAATAATATGTAATGTACTTTACAATGTTCCTGACATATATTTCAGCTTCCTGGATTTTTTTTTTCATCTGGCCTTTAGATATGAAAGGCAGAGTGATTTAACGCCTGTTTAGATTTGTCATCCATGTGACGAAATGAAAAGTATGCCGTTTGCAATAAACTTTGCATAAAATAGTTAATTTGTGTTGAATTTTAATGGTTCAAAGAATGTCAGGCAAAATGGTCGGCCCTCACGCATGTTCACTTCATAAAATCTGGCCCTCTTTGAAAAAAGTTTGGACACCCCTGCCCTACACTGTTCACTGCACCTATGCCAGGAGCTCTCAGACTCTCTTTTCCTTGGGTAATACCACTTGTTCTAGTCTCTCCCTGAAGGTTATAGCTTCCACCCGGAAATCTGCACTAACCAGTCATTTCCCTCAAATTGATTCAGTTGCTTATCTTGCTCTTCCTGGCCACTGCCCCTGCTCAGCATATTCACCCTGTGCCTTGCCTGCAGTGACTTTCTCTGCCTATTCTCCTGTAGTGGTCAATTGCGGAAGAACTTTGTCTGTGCTAGTTTAGGGGTGGTAAGGCCTGCATTCTTTCCCCCATTTCCCTTTTCCCTATATCTGATGAGCCAGAAGCAAGACTTTGGGAACATATGCCATTTAGGATAAGCATTGTTGCCAATTTAGCTAGAACAAGTATGAGATAAGGGTAAAGGGCAAGAACACATAAACAATTCTGTTTACACTAACGTACTGATCACGTAAACAGGGCCAAAGAACAAGTAGATTCAGAACAGAGCCAGATCGATATCTAACAGCTAAGTCCTACATCAGCATGTAATGAGTAACCCCTGGAAATTTCCAAACTACAAAACAAGGCAGGAAAAATTGTATTTAAGGCTTCCTCAAAGCACAGCAATTTGAACCTCACTGATGGGCTTTGGGTACCGGTGCCTCGGAAGCTGAGACAACCTCCCACTTGGTCTGCAGCCTACCCGGGCTTCCAGACTTGCAGGAAGGGACGTAAGATATGCTGCTTCTTTGTTATATTGTTCTTCCAGATATGGGGCACAGCTGTTAGCTGTCAGGAAATAAACTACTTGTGTTTGACAGATACCTGTGTGGCGTCCTTTATACTTTGAGAGCCCAGTGTTGAACCTAAGACTTACTCTTGCTGACTACATCCCGCCCCCCCCAAAGAAGGAATCTAGTGGGCAGTGGAGGGAGGGTGCACATGTGCCTGCTCCCTTCTCTTCCCTTAATGCTGCTCAGCTTCCTTTCTCTTCTGCTCCCCAGTGCAGCACTGTCCCTCTGCTTCCAGATACCTCCTCACAGCTCAGCGTGCATAGCTTCTGCTGTCTGGCTCTGCTCAGCTGATAGGTTAGCAGACTGCAGCTGCCAGAAAGTGCTACCAGTGCTTTGGCAGGGAGCAGCCAGAATTGCCACAGGTAGAGCTGCCTGGAGGTGCATGTAAAGGCTGTATTTAAATATTATAGGGGATAATTAAACCATTGTTATTGAACTCCTCTGGAACAAGATCTCTGATCACAGAATTCTTCCATTAGAGGGTTGTTATCTTCTTCTGCTCTGACACCTTCTAGGTCAGGCTACCCTGCTCCCTCCCTGTGGGTGTGTCTAGACTACAGGGGGGGTTTTCGGGAAAAAAAAAGTGGCCTTTTTTTGAAAAAACGTCCCCTGCGTCTAGACTGCTGCTGTGTTCTTTCAAAAGTAAATGGAAAAAACCGTGAGTTTTTTTTGACCGTGGAAAACCTCATTTTAGGAGGAATAACACCTTTTTTCGAAAGTGCTCTTTTGAAAAAAGGCGCTATGTAATGCGAACTGTGCTTTTTTGAAAGAGAGCATCCAGACTGCCTGGGAGCTCTCTTTCGAAAAAGCGGCTGGCTTTTTCAAAAGAACTAATTGTAGTCTAGAGGCTCTTTTTCGAAAGAGGCTTTTTCAAAAGTATCTTTCGAAAAAGCCCCTTTTAAAAGAGACTTGCAGTCTAGACGTAGCCTCTCTGCTGTGACCACTGTCCCTTTGCTTATTTGAACATGAAGCTCAAAATGGCCCCATTAAGGCAGAAGTTGAGGGTTTCTATTGTGCTAATTGCTCCTTGCCCACCCTCCCCATTACTTTAGGGAGCATTCTAGGGAAAGTATAGCTGGCCCAGAGCATTGCACTCTCCAGTGGTCCTGCCCTGCAGAATACTTCCTTGGAGCTGCTCTATTTCAAGAAAGGGGCTGGTGAAGCCTCCAGTAACCTCAATGGCCAAGGAGGCACAAACTCACCTACATCTGTTGCCATCAGTATCAGATGTGCCGAGAACAGTTCTGGCCCAATGTCAAACAGGTCCAACTGTTTCTTTCTACAAAGAAGGTACAATATCAGTCAAGGGGTCTGGGACAGGGCTGCCCTGCCAGCAGGCTCCCCTGTTCCCTCCTCCCTCTCCCCCGCCCCATGGCTTGCATGTTGTCAGAGGGTATCAGACTCGGGGGGCTGCTTCCCCCTCCAGTGCCCCCCCCATGGCCAGCAGGCTGTATAGGGGGCAAGGTTCCTGGGGCTGCCACGGTCTGCAGCATCCCCCTTGTAGCCTGAAGGCCGTTGAGGTAGAGGCAAGACTTTGGGAGCTGCTCCCAGCCTCCAGCAGTCTCTCAGTGGCCTGTAGTAGCCTGTAGGAGGGCGGACTCCAGGGGCTGTCCCCCCTCCAACTGCTCTCTGCAGCCTGCAGGCTGTTAGGTGGCAGGCTCTGAGGGTTGCCTCCTCCCCCAGTGGACCTCCCCCCACAGACTGCATGGTATCTGGGGAGCGGTCAGGTCCCAGGGGCTGTCCCCTTTCAGCTGCCGCCCTACAGTGTCCCTTCTGCAGCCTTCAAGCTGTCTGGGGGGTGAGACTTCAGGAGCTGTCGTCCTCCTCCAGTGTCCCCTCCCACAGCCTGCAGGCTTTCCACAGGGTGACAGGCTCTGGAGTCTGCCTCCCCTTCAGCGGCCCTCCCATGTCATGCAGGCTCTTCAGGGAGGGCAGGCTCCAGGTTTGGGGCAATGAGGCTATTTACCCAGTCTGGAGGTAGGCAAGATGGTGGCGCTCAAGCCCTGCTGACCACACTCTTGATGCTGCTGCTGCCCTCAGTGGCCACTCTCAGTATTGCATCCCTCCTTTTCCCTTTCACATTACTCCTTTCTCTGCCCCTCCCTTTCCATACTATGGAAAACAGTCCCATTCCTGGCACTTCCTGTTTTTCAGGCACAATGAAACCCTGACCTTAGTTAATGTTAGGGTAACAGGAAGCTGCAAATGTAATGGTCCTAGCTCTTACAGTTTAGGAGCTCTAGAACAAATGGATTCACAGACGCATAGATAGTTAGACTCATAGACAGACAGACACACTCTAAAATATATAGAGAGATAATAAAAAGGAGGATTTAAGAGATTGCAAGTGAAAACAGACAGAACAAAGTAAGTTACTAAGGAAAAATAAAACATACCAGCTAAGCTTAATGTCATTGCCAATCAAATTTCTCACTGTAGGGCTACATCTAGACTTCAGGCTTCTTTCAGAAGAAGCTTTTCCAGAAGAGATCTTCCAAAAAAGCTTTTTCCGAAAGAAAGCATCCACACTGCCAAAGCACATTGAAAAAGCAATTTGCTTTTTCGAAAGAAAGCATCCACACTAAATGTGTGATTTAAGCGGTGGTTACTATGGATGGAGTGGCCACCAGGGCACCTGTGGTTTTTCCTATTTCCTCTTCTTTCAAAAGAACTCCCTCTTCCCTGCTCACACATGCCTTTTTCCAAAAGAGCTCTTTTGGAAAAAGGCTTCTTCCTTGTAGAAAGAGGTTTACCAATGTAGGGTTCTTTTGATTTTTTTCCTTCAAAAAACACATGTGGAGTGTGGATGTAAGTGAAGTTTTTTTTGGAAAAATGGCAGTTTTTCCAAAAAAAACCTCTGTAGAGTAGACATAGCCTAGTTCCTATACCAGATGCAATCCTTCACAAGCCAAAACTAATCTTTTTCTCTGACTTAGGCCCAGCAATACTCCTTACTCTCTGTTGTTATAGTTCTCTCTTTTTCCTTGTGTTCTTGAGTTCAGTATCTTCTCAGGGTAGGGAGACAGTTTCAGAAGCCAGCTAAAGATGATCTTTGATTGCTTCCTGTCCCTTAAATAGAATTTCCCAAGGGTGGGAAACCTTTGTTCAATTCTCCTCTGCCCCCCACCCTCACTCCCTGAGTCTGGAAAAAGTATACAATTTAAGACGGATTCCAGCATCCTGTGACATAGTCACTTATCTTTGTAGGACCAACCACAGTTTGGTCCGATAGCAAAAATAAAACTATTCACAGATCATTGTCCTGAGCACCAGACCATTCAATTCCTAATGGCTTGCACTAGACAACCTAGAATTAATAAAACAGGTTTCTGCTTAATATTCCTAACTTCATATATAAGAATGATACGTGCACACAAACAGAATATATACATTCAGGGTTCATAGGCTCTTGAACTCAGGTAGACAATAAATGGCCTTTGGGTTGGATGTGGTTTGCAAGGGCAAGCACCTGGCAGACTTCATAGTGTTAGATAGTTAAATACATTATCAGAAAAATAGTGTTATTTTTAAGCATCATGACTTTTAAGAATTGTTTTTGAACTTTCAAAAAACATTATAATATGTGGCAATTTCTTACTCAGTGGATTTGCTCCATTTGTGTACTCACAGCCCTGCCTGCTTACTTACCAACAAAGCATCAAATATATTTTAGCTACTTCTTCTCAGCACTGCAGAAACCATACAGCAATAAGAAAATGAGCTGGATTTTATTCTGGACTGTGAATCATCAACAGAGTTATTAATTAATTTCCAACTTCATGATTGGTAATGTAACTATTATACTAATGAGTCTGTAGTTCTTTTGTGGAAAAAATATGTTTTTGTTTACAATTATTTATATGTTTGTGTGTATCTATATATATAGAGAGAGGGTGTATCTAGACAACAGGGTTTTGTTGACAAAAGTGGCCTTTTGTTGACAAAATTATACCTGCGTCTACACTACTGCCAAGTTCTGTCGACATAACGTCAACAGAACTTGGCAGTTTTGTCGATGGTGGTAAACCTCATTCCACGAGGAATAACACCTTTTGTCGACAGAGTTCTGTCGACAGAAGGCGTTATTGCATCTACACTGTCCTTTGTGTCTACACGCTCATGTTGACAAAGTGGCTTGCTTTGTTGACAGAACTGGATGTAGTCTAGATGCTCTTTGTTGACAGAGGCTTTGTCGACAGTATCTGTCGACAAAGCCTCTGTCGACAAAAGCCTGTAGTCTAGACGTACCCAGAGAGAGAAAGAGAGAGAGAGAAAGAGATTGTTGCAATAGTTGGTTTTAACACATGCATTCGCCTACTGAATATTTATAATTTTATTTATTTTCCTTTATAAACTCATTCTCCCATGGAGTTCAGTGAGAATTCAGTGAGTGAAGGGCTCACACTACATGAAGTGTATTCTCGGTATATTCTTCATATGAGTAAATGACAGGTTTTGGAGGGAACTTAGTTAAGGCCCAAGAAATCTGGGCTTGATCCTATAAGTGATGAGCATTTAAGCATATGCTTAACTTCAAGCATGTGAGTACTGACACTCAGGTCAAATAAGACTATTTGAATTCTTAAAACTTTGCTGGATTGAGGTCAGAGCACACAGAACCTTGCAGAGTCAAGCGCTCCTAGACTATCCATAGAATATATTTAAATTATGTTTACATAAATTAACAAAATGTATAAAATTTTTCTACAAACAAGAACATATTTTTCTCCTCAACTGTACCCATTATTCAACCTGTGAAAGTATCCATTTTGCTAACATTTGTCATTTATTAAACACATGTTGGCAAAAGTGTCGCATAGAACAGATTTATTGCTCATTTACATTTTCCAACATTTGTTTTGGGGGTTACTACATCTTGTGTGAGTCCCAAAATGTCCTTAAACTTGCTAAGTCATATACATTCATGAAGTCATTGCATTATACTGGGGTGAGTTTATCCCTGTAAGTCTTCTGCATGGGCACTGCCTTCAGAACCTCCCAGTTCCCTGGCTTAATTCATTCTGACAGAGCCATCCTGAGGGGGACGTGGGGCCTGGCACGGACCCCTCCTTTTCCCAACTTCACCTGTCCCCTCAGGCTCTGCCCCTGCTCTTTTCCACCTCGTCCCCTTACCCCCTCACCTGAGCAACGCAGCCTGAGGAGGTCATGGGGACCTGGCATAGGACAGCAGGGATAACCCCTCCCCACACACACACACACTCCACTCACCATGTGGGAAGTGGGAGCCAGAGCTGCTCAGCAGACTGCTCTGCTCTGCCCTGCCGTCCTCTCCCAGCTTGCTGCATCACACTTCTCTGCAACAGCGGGCAGTGGAACATCATGGGGTCTGGGCTGGCCTCCCCAATTCTGGATGCCAAAAGTAATTATGCAGTTTCACATTGACTGCAACAAGGGGGAGCATCAGAATCAGTGCCACTGTGATGTCATAAGGGAGTCATTAGTACAATAGTGGATTATGTTACATTGGAGGCCTATGTCAGTTAATCACCTTCCCCTATGCAACTGTATGAAAAGTATCAAATTAATCTTTCTGATCAAGTTTAATCCTTCCAACCTGCCAGAAATGCAACTATTCCCTGAAAGTGGGAGAGTGTTAATGGACACCCCAACTAAAGGCAGCGATCCTTCAAAGTAACATTTTTACATTATTCAAATGATTCCCACTTGTTTCTTCCCTCCTCCCCATGAATCTGTTATTGATATAAAGGTTGAAGCTCAGGCAGCTTAACTGTTATGTGGAATGACCTTTACTTTTAATATTAATATATTATTGTAAAGTCTGTGTGAATCATGAATGCAATTTTGGAATTCATATAAAATGCCATGTGCTGAACCTATTGCAACTTCTCCTCTAGTCCTCTGGCAGGTTGCAAACTGTGTGAATTAATATGCATCATATTCTTTCCCTTTTATTTACTTAGAGTGGTTTGCCGAGCAACTTTATCAAGAGTAACATTATCAAGAGCTTTCCTGCAAGCTTCTTTATCATATTCACATCCGTGCCTACTCAACACTTGTCACTGTCAATCAAATCGCAATAATACGCAGATGATTTGCTCATTTGGTTTAATAAAATCTCTCTGCTTATTTGCACTGCAGTCATTATGCCACATAATTGCTCTGCCGCTGAGGTGAAAGGCAGCCAGTTGCCTGGGGGATAAGAAGAGACTATTGCTATATGAAGGATTTGTTTCTTTGCCTCTGTCTCTCCCTAGTCACTCATATCCCTAAAATTAATATTGTATTTGAATCTAGTCCTGCTATTCTCATGCAGGCTAACATTGTTATTACTTATTATTTGGATGTGAAGTCATTTATTTTTAGTTTTGATGTCCAACCTGTCAAGCTAAATTTCATTGTGAACGACCACACACAATTTTTAACTGACATTTAAACTAGATTCAAAATCCAAATTATAAAGAGACTATGTTCAAAGGAATGGACTGACAGAAAGTATAGCTACGATCATTTTTTCCTAAGAAATCAAAGTACCTATCTGCTGTTGTTGTTCTGTGGTGTGGAAGTCTTAGTACTTCATAATCTTCTTTGTACTGGTTGGACAGTGTGATCCAGGTGCATAAGAAAACGGGCATTTATGTGCAAGAGCAGCCCTTAGGGTGCAAAACCATGGCATTGATTTCTAGAAATGACGGATCACAGAACTAAGTCTAATTTGCTGTTGTAAATCAATGTCTGTTTTGTTCTCTTTATTCTCACAAATTCTTCTGCCATCAGAGATGGAAGAAGAAATAGGAAAGCTGTATCTCACAAAATAGAGCTCTCCTACTACATCTAGACTACACTGAAGAGTCAAAAGTAGTTTGGACGTGGCTCAGCTTTCGAAAGTAGTTTGGACGTGGCTTTTTCGGCGAACCCTGCCCCCCTTTTTTGAAAAGCCTCTCTTCCTCAAAAAATGAGGTTTATGCGACTTTTCGAAAAAGGGGGTGGGATTCACCAAAAAAGCCGTGTCCAAACTACTTTCACTTTCGAAAGCTCCGCTTTCAAAAGTGAGATTGGAAGATGATATGCAAATTCC